CACAACAAAACAACACAGGTGGCGCTCTACTGTAGCCCTGCAGGAGCAGTATATTAAAATATATTTTTTAAATAAATATGTATGTATGTATACATATAAATACTTGCATATATACACACAGATATATGTATAAATATATCTGTGTGTATATATGCATATATACACACAGATATATGTATAGATATATCTGTGTGTATATATGTATATAAATAACTGCATATTAAAAGCAGTTTGACTAAAAATAAATAAATAGTAAATAAAAACTCTTGGTCTTACCTTGATGGGTACGACGGCCGTCTGGATCATGTTTCTGAAGCGTCCGACCGAGGGGTCAATGTCCTCTGTAAACAGATAAAGGGCAGTATTGAAGATTAAAGACGTGTTTATGTTTTTAACCAGTGCCTGTTTCAGCCTCAGCTCTGACCTGGATCCATGAAACTCTCTGACCCCAGGAGTCATTAACAGACCCGAGGAGAACGTCTGTGACTGAGCATCAGACAAAAACACAACATTTAAGGGGAGTTTTTTTTTTAAATTTTTTATGTCAAACACAACTAGAAAACAGAAGAAGAGCAGAGTGTCTGAGACGACACAGCTCTGCTCCTTCAAGGTCTTAATTATTGATTTCTATTTTAGTAAAACAAAAAAAAAAAATTCATTTTTGTTTCATTGTACTTTAAAAAAAAAACTTCAGGAAAAAGTAAAGTGATAATTAACCTCAGGTTCTGTGAAAAAGTTTGAGGCAGGTTTCTACATGCAGCCCCACCCTCACCACTAACTTTTTTCTCAACATCATCAAATTTCTGTTTAATTCCAACAGGCTGTGGTTTTGGTTGGATTTGTTCATCGTTGCTTTTTATTTTTTCTCACCTGGGTTGATGATGGAGTCCTCTTCATTGAAGGTGACTCTGGAGTTCCTTCGTTTCCTTTTGGGCCTCTGGATCTCCAGGTTTCCTTCTTCGATGGTCAGCAGGGAGATGCGCTTGTTGTGAGCCGTGTTGAACTCCGTCAGGTTCTGATCAAAAAGGAAAAAAAAAAGAAAATGAACCTCACTGTTCAGTTGATACTAATCTAAGACTGTTTATGTCTATGTTTACAATCCTCTCAGATGAACATAAATAACACAAACATGTCAAGAAGAAGACAGCTGTCACTCATGTCCACTGTACACTACAAAATAAAAAATGATTTTCTTAGTTTTTCCAAGGACTTCAGAAACGTCGCTATTTTTCTCCTACTGTTAATAACAAACACATTTTGAATTTAATTCTAAAAATACTTTTATTACATGTCCTCATTGAGAGTAAACATTTGGTTTTAAGCTACTTTTAAATACAATGACTGTGTGTACTTCACATATTCAGTACATGTACTGCACGGTTAATGTCATTCAAATCTGACTTAAATCCCCCTAAAAAGTTGATTTATTAATTTGTTCTGCCTCTGAAAAAGTTAAAGTTTACATCTAGAAAAACAGAAAACAGAAGGAAATATTTTATTCACGTGATTTTCAAACCACGGTTCTAGTCTCAGTAATGGTACTTGGGCTCGCTCTAGTGGTGCAATAGGAATCAGATTTTTCAGTGGTTGAACTCAGGGGAGTGTGTGTGTGTGTACGAGTGTGTGATGAAATACTGGTTGTAGTGTTACTTCATTATCTGATGGTTTTGATCAGTTTTGTCCTTCTTATCTCGATCTTATCTGAACAGAGTGGACTACTGGTTTGGAAAGTGTGAAAACCACTGGATTACTGCACTTAGTTTTTCTTTTTTTAGCAACTGAGTATCACAGTACACGTCGTATACAGCAGTAGTATAGTGTAGAAAAGTAAAGTACCTCCAGCTCCGTCTCTTCTTCCGGTAGGCCGAGGAGTCCTTTCAGCTCCTCATCGTCTCCGACCTTGCTGTCCCCTGGACCTGCAGGGCCCTGGGTCTGAGGCTTCTCTCTGATGGTGTACGTACGCGTGGAGGCTCCGAAAGATATGGTGGAGTCTATGGGCACCTGCTGAGGCTTGTGTGCCTCCAGACGGATGTGTCCCAGGAAAGTTCCGTGTGCTACGGAAAGGTAACGGTCAAATGAAAGAAGGTCACGTCTAAAAAGTTTGTTCTAGGACCTGAACTCAACATGGACATGGTTGAGTTGAGACAACTCGCCTCAGTTATGGAAATTCATCAGTCAACAGTGAGATTCAGATTAAGACAACTTATTTTTCAGTCAGTTATGGAAACTCATCAGTCAACAGTGAGATTCAGATTAACAAAGTGGCTAAAGCTGCAGCAGTTTAACATTTGACGTATTATCTTAGAAATAAATCAATGTTGATTCTTGCATCTTTTTGAACAAGTGACAGAAGTTTTGTGTTTTAAAATAGGTAGAAAAAAAGAGATTAAATGTACTACAGTATTACTAAATTGTACATCATCAACGTGTGTCTCTTACTGCTGTTCAGGTCGATGAGAAAAACTCTCTTCAGGTGTTTGTGGTAAATCAGAGCCGCATGGACCCGGGAGCACGACTGGTGGTCGATGGTGAAGTCACAGAAGTCGGGATTCCTCCCGAACAGGTAGTATTTCTTTTCATCTATGATCAGTTTCTACAAAGAGAAAAGTCCTGGTGTCAGACGGAGGACAAGTGAACAGACACGAGGGTGGAGGGTGCAAAGCCGGAGCACCTCTGTGCCCTGAGGACAAGTACAAAGCCGGAGCACCTCTGTGCCCTCGAGTCATAACTCTACAGTGAAACTCCCCACTGTACAGCTTAAATCTCAGGGCCAGTTGATGTGGCACCGTCAGAGCCCCGCAGCCACGGCCGTCTGGGTGGAGACGGGCTGTCGGGCTTGTATCTGGTGCGGTTGAACAGCCTCGAGGTCGTTACATTTCTTCAGAAATTCTTAGATCACTTAAACCGGATCAGAATGTCACACTGGATTGAATTACTGTACCATCAGGATCCATGGAGAATGACCTGCCGGTTCGCTGAATGACCTTTTATTAGTTCTGACAACTATGTGTTCATTCAAAGCCAATTCTTGGAGCCAATACCAGCAGCCATTGAGCAAGGCAGGTCTACACCCAGGACAGTTCTCCAGGTCGTCATGCACACGTACTAACTTGCACTCACCTCCATCAGTTTGTCTCCCTTCATCACATCTAAATGGAGCCCAGGAGGAGGTTTTCCCGCCCTGAATAGAAATATACACAGAAATTAAACGTAGATTTTTATTGACTTACTAAAAAGACTAATAACCAACACTAACCACCAGCAGGACCGATGCTACAGTTCTGAATAAGATGGTAAAATCGTTTTTACCATTGCTACTTACCATTGCACTCCTTTTTGTTTTATTTAAAGTGTTTTTCTTTACACATGCACCTCATGACACCGTATTTGATTCATGTACGTGAGCATTTTAGCTTTCACCTTTCTTTTTTTTAGCTTAAAGTTCTGATATTTTTAGCAGAAATGCTAACCTCGGCCTCTTGCACTCTACTGACACAACAATAAAGAGTATTCTATTCTAACGCCATGCCAAAAATATCACGTATGCGCGCACACAGCTGCGTTAAAACGCCATTGGCACACCGGAGCTAGTTAGCTTGTTAGCGCTAGTATGGGATAGCGTAAGCTCTCGCAATTCTCTTAAATCACAACGTACACAATCGTACCCGCGCCTTCTCACCGGTTCTTGTATCGTCTAAACACACATACAAAGTTTGGAAACTTAAGCGTTTGCATTTACTCACCATGATGGACAATCGAAAGGAGGAGCAGTCTCTTTACTTGTTTTAGTCGCCATCCTGCCTCATCTACCACAGGCCCGGCTGCATGTCGGGTAATCGGCACGGTGGCATGACGGGAGTTGGAGTTTCGCGACAACATCCTTTAATAGTGTATCCATAAAGTTAGCATAAATTGGAATCAATTCAAGCAAATGTGATTACATTTAAAGTATTATGGGTTTTTTACTACTGATACGAGACATCGAAGTTAGAGCCATAACTTTTTACCAGGAAGAAAACATATCTCTTGAACCACTAGATGTCGACACATCCCGGAAGTTTAATTCGGAATTCCCGACTAATATCTGAAGATATTCCATTGTACTAAGCAGCACTAGGTCTAATTTGCACTATATAAACTGATTAGTTACATACATAATAATAAAAAACATAACTGAACAGCACAGAATGTAGTTTAATGTGATATTTAAATATTAAAAGTGGGTATTTTTGCTCTTATTTTGTACCACGTTGTCACACGGTCACTTCAGTGTAATGAACCTTGAATCCATGAACACATAGACGTGATAGTTGTGATGGTTTGATCACAGACGGAGCAGAAACGCCATGGACACAGAGTCAGTGTTTGATGCCACTGCAGTGAGTTTCCGATCAGCGTTATCCACAGTGTTTGTTCTGGGCAGGCGACGGGTGAAAAACAGTTAAACCGTCTGACTCAGTTTCCATGGTGGATGAGTCATGAGATATGATGCATATACATTATTTTATTAACATTTGAGTTATTATTATATATGACATATGAGTTATTATTATATCTGACATAATAATAACTCAAATGTTAATAAAGTGGTGACACCAGTGGTTCTCAAACTGTGGTTTTCTGTAGCAGTACGTGTAGGAAACAAAACAAAAACAAAACAAAACATTTGTTTTGTTGTTTTTTTTAATTTATTTATGGAAAGTGTATACAGTGATAAAGTAATTACTGACTTCTGTTGGGCCCCCAAACTGGCACTGTTGAAAAGGAGAAGTGAAAAACTGGAGGAAGCTATTAACTTTAGAACTGCCCTTTACAAACCACAGAGGGTAGAAATGAAATGGGGGGGGGTGGGGGTGGGGAGTGTAGTTTCAGCACTGAATTCAAGTTCCAGTTTTTTAGTAAGAGTTCCTTGTTTGGAGGCCTTTTTTTTGGTGACACTGCCCCTAGGGTGTCTACAAAGTACTGCAGGGTTGTTGTGGTTTTTATTATTATTATTATTATTATATATTATTATAAAAAAGTGCTTCAATTATCAACCGGGCTAACATTTCACACTGTGAAAATGTTTCCCAGAGATACTGAATATACAAACATATTTCAAGAAAAAGTGTAAGACAGAGAACAACAACGATCAGAATAAAAAGCGTCAAACTTAATACACACACATTTATAATTTTTTTTCATATACTTCTCTATTTAAATACTTCCTTCCTATAAAAACACAGCACTTTCTTCCGCCGACTTGAGGAACTTCAGCAGCGACTCGTCTACTACCTCATAGTCATGGTCAGAGTCCACATCTGCTGTGACTCCTGTCACTGACCCTAGGGGAGAAAAGAGGAAGTGCACGGTTTAATTTAATTTCACATTTTTATTCTCATCAATATTAAAGACCTTGATGACTTTAAAAGGTCGTATGTTGTACCTCAGTTAAAAGAAGAGAGGGGAACGTCATCGCCTATTTATACCTTTCTTTGTAGAGTCATTCATTTTCACGTAGGTGTTTGGCAGAGCGCCACCTGTCTTCTGTCCAGCAACCAAGTGCTTTTGGACAGCAGGCATCAGGAGCTGGTCCTGAAGAGAGAAAGTTTCAGAGCGTTGATTGAATTTATTCACCGCTGCTCGTCCACTGAAACAGGAAGTTTGTTTAGAAATATAAACTCTCATGGGAGTCCAGTTCCGGTGAGGTCGAGTAAAGGAAGACTTTTTCTTTTTTGAGAATTGAACAGCATGTACTCTGAGTTTCAGTATGTGTGCAGATATTTTTGGACAAGCGTTTATTCAAGCCTCTTCTGGTGGAGCAGATAAATCAGTGTTTCCACTGAGAACCACCGTCCAACCTACAGCATACGGCTGGAGTTCACTGTTTTCCACAAATGATGACGACATTCTGGCCGGTAACAGATTACAAATAATTAAATTCATGCAAAAGCCTTTTTGTTTACTGGGACAGAGACAAAAGTCATCATAAAAAAAAAGTTTTTTCTTGTCTGGAAAGAGTTCCTTTCTTTACAGGAACACTGTTGGTGTCTGTGGAACAACTTCTTCCCACGTTCTGTTTCAACACTTAAATGTCAGTAGGGACCGGGTGTCTTGGTTTAATAGCGGTCCCAAATAACGTTCTAAGCGGATATCGCCACCTACTGTACTTGCGCGATTAATTTTTTTATTTGAGCTGATACGAACTGTCATGCATTTGTACCGATTTTTCACCGATTAACGATGCATCTTATCTTAAACAGAGAGTGACAGGTCATCCAACCATGAGGCTACTTCATCCAGCAGAGAGCGGTACTTACTGTAGGAGGGGGAGGCGGGGAACGCTTTTTAGCAACTGTTAGAGTCAGACTGGACAGCTCCTTGGTTGGTGCCCTGTCACTGTCAGGTTCATGGTGTGACCTATGACCCCTGGCCACAGGAGGACAGTGTTTCCGCGGGGGCACAGGAGGAGGAGCGACGTCGGAGTACCTGCGTTTGCAGAACTCATTAAAGAAAATGTCCGTCACCTCAATGACACTTTCCATGTGGCATTCAGGGGGCTGGGGGCCGGACCACGGCAGAGGGTCCTCGGTCACAGTGAGAGACATCGAAAACCACTTGGCTGGGATCAGGAAACACTGGGTGGGAGTGTGGAGAAAGCTGGCCTGGATGGTGGGCTCCAGCAGAGACCCCTCTGTCCTGAGGCACGGGAGACCAGCCAGTGGGTCACTTCTGAGTTCCGTGTCGCGGCTCACCACTTTAACGTTCAGCGGCACACTGAAGTCTTTACTCAGGTTCCTGAGTCTGTACTTCTTGGTGTCTGAGAGAACCTCGACAAACTGACCCCGCATGTACAGCGGGAGGAGGAGGACCTCTTCTCTCACATCTTCATGCTTCGTCTCCTCCTCCTTCTCATCACTGTCATCGTCATCGTCGTCCCCATCATCCAGCTCTTGGACGCGATGGCAGAGAAGAGTG